CTCACCAACTAAACTAGTGGGCGCTTAGGGACCATGGCGATTTTCGAGTACTGCTCAGCAACCAGCGTGAACGTGCATGAAAGACAACTCTTTCCTCTCAACCGAAGGGATTACTCCAGGGGTCTAATCTCAAGGTACGCTTTCAATTACGCGTAACAACAAAAGCGCAAAGGTGGTGCAGTGGGAGGTGGCACCGCTTACTCCTTGTTCTAGGAGTCACATCCCGTATCAGATCTCACTCAAGCCATTCAGCCTCCCATAGTCCTTAAAGGCACAACCCAGGCAGAGGTCGTGTGAACGCTTCTCTTCGGTCTGTAGTATAGACCCCTAGAGGACAATCACAAATGTGGCGTTCCGTGCACGGAAACCAACCGACAAGAGCGCTTGGGCCTTGCAAAGTAAGCTGCCCAAGCTGCAGACTTTTTTCTCTTATCAGGCTGTTGTCTGGCGCTCTCTCATCTGTAGCGCTCTCTCGCCTCATACTCTCCTCTCCGCGCTTAGTCTCTCATTCCCTTAGCACAGCCGATTAGGAAGGTGAGTGAGCCCTTAACCTAAGCGTTTTCGACGGATTCTTTTCCTTTTTTCTTTACTGCCGGCCCATTTCCCACCAATACATTCGCATTCGTGTGCAAGAGCCACACCAATGTGATCCTGGGGCATGCCTTTAATAAGCATCAGGCATTCGTTACGGATAAAGCAGCCATTATCATTCCAGCTTACCCCACCCTTGCCAATTTCTTCCGTTTGGGACGCCATCCAAAAATCGTAGTTTCGACAAAACGCTCTCGATTGAAAGCGAAGATCTATGTGTTTTACATACAACGAACGCTTAGTGCGAAAGGTTTAGTCAACAAAACCCGAAAACTGGTTCTGTCATGATGAGTAATACCACAATCCGTTTATATGCCCTATGACTTTAGCGCCACGGTTCGGGCGTCTGCAGCAGCACTTGAAATTTCGTCTCTTTCAACACTTGTGATTATCCTCCGAGCTCAAACACAAAGGGCAGGAACATCGATCGCATGAGCGTAAATTCGATGATTATGGTAATTCCTCACTGTCAATGTTCTTACTGACACAGTGGAAAGGGCAAAAATAATCTGCACTTGAAAAACAGCCATGTTTTCTTTTCTGAGGTAGCAGCCATGTTACTCTGAAGGTTCAGTTCGTGATCGAAACCTCTAGTTACATATTTCGCTCCACTCCTGGAAAAGAGGCGTGAGAAAGACCATAAATAAGGAAAAAGTAGAAGGAAATATGGAAACACTGAAGTTAGCGACCTCGTTTTCTGATGCCAATCGTGGTCTCGTGGAAGATGCAACGGCACACACTGCTGGCTGTGCGTTGAAGGCAAGGCCAGGATCAAATATATGTGGTAATTCAACTCTAATATGAAAGTAGGGATGCGAGACTAGTAGAGTCGAGACACCATAGTGCAGCACATACAAGATATCGATGGTGAGCGGACACCGATCATTCTGACCAGGAAAGGCATTCAACTTCCCATGGAACTTTGATGAGACCCAGATATATCGATAGAGCTTCAAACGCTGATTACAAATATGGAAACTAAAACTGCAAAATGAACCTGCCAAGAAGTTGTGAGCAGTCAAAGTTGGCTGGAAGTGAAGCGTTACGTATTACCGTGTAGCCTCCGGGCTTTCAAAACTCGCCGTGGAGTAGTGTAGTTGCTCTCGAAATTTGCAGTCCGACAGTGCAGAAGAGAACTTACGATATTCCGAGTGAAGAGCGAGGGCACTACTACTACTTCACGGCGACTTGGAAAGCCTGGAGCTTAGCACGGTTCATATGAAACGCCTCACTTCTAGCAATACCGTTGACTGCTCACAACTTCCTTGGCAGGTTCATTTTGCAGTTTTAGTTTCCATATTTGTAATCAGCGTTTGAAGCTCTATCGATATATCTGGGTCTCAATTCAAAGTTCCATGGGAAGTTGAATGCCTTCCCTGGTTAGTGCCCAAACGCGCACCTCGCCTTAGATTTAAGCGTCAAGATCCTGATAATTAGATCTTATTCTTAATCATTCTCATCTTTAAAATTTAGAGGTGACTAACTGGAAGAAGAACAAACTAGCGCGACCACTGCAGTGGTGGATCTAGCACTTTCATTACAATAGCGGATCTGGCACTTCGCTTCTCTAATCCACGGTAAGACTTCTTCAGTAAGGCTGAGCTCGGATCCTACCTTTAAGCAGACCGACAATACCCCATGGATTGGTCGGTTCATCCGTTATATAGCTCCTTGTATTATTGACGACGGTCAAAAAAGAAGTGGCATTTTCTTTTCTTGGCCGTCGTAACTTGTAGTGTGTGGTCTGCACTCGACACTCTTCACGTTTTCCTAAATAGAGGGTGCATACGCTCATAGTCCACCACCGTTGATGTTGTACTGATCTTTCCGGAAAGGGGGAAGGGATTGATGAATGGGGTTACTGAGGGGTTTCGGAGGGTAGGAGTACAACTTGTAACAGTTAAGGTGTGGGGATTTTTTTGGTGAGGTTTGTGATATTTTTTCAATTCAGAATTCTGGAACAACTCTGAAGTATTTTTTCAGTCAAACAACAACCTCATAGTATCTGCAATAATACACCTCAGAATATAGGAAAGCCTTATAACTGATTTCCAATTCTGCTCCATCATCTCTTCAATATTCCTCAGCGCATTTTCCACCTAAGACTGCCACCGGAGTCATGATGGTATGAAGCAGGGTGAATATCGGTCGAGGAAATCCTCGACAGGGGGGTCGTACCTGTTGGGCTGGTCCATGGGGGGTCGTACTCTTGGGGTCAGTAACAGAAGTGGTATCATGGTGCAGATAGGTAATAGGGTATAGCGCAGCAGAAAATGAAAACATCCGAAAAAAACATGATATTAAATTTTCTTTGCAGGTTCAGTCGCTCCATTCCTCCACCTTCATGAGAAGGGCGTATTGAAGGCAGTACAAAGAATGAAAGTGCATCCCCGCAAAGAAGACTGCCACATGTGCGCACGCGCTGCAAAGGCACCTCCTCCGCCTATCACTCGCTCCTTCTCCCTTAATACCTCGCTGAGAATGACGCTGTTGTTAGGGACCCTGTCGAAAACGACAACCGTGAAGAAAAAGCGCTGGGCAAATGAAGTTGTTTTTTAGGTTACAGGAATAGCACAACACACTATGTCTACTACAATACAGTTTCGTTCGAAGGTCCCCATCATATAACACCTTTCAATCGATTCTGCAACTGTGAGTGGAGGAGGGATGCATGGCTTATACCAATACCAAATCGGATGATGACGATTGCTCCTATTCTTATTGTTTGCGTTCAAAGATATTGTTCTAGACACATTCCGAGTGTTGCCAACGAGTCACACTTGCAATGGTG